AGGGTGACAGACATCAATTAGTTTCCTCTCACATGTGCCCTGACAGGGAACATACCTGCAGCCAGGCATGTGCCTCGACCAGGAGTCCAGCCAGTGAGTCTCGCTTTGTGGTATGACACCCAGCCAACTGAGTGACACGGGGCAGGGTATTGTCATGATCTTTGAGGAGGGCTGTGGGAGACTCCTGGGCACCCCGGAAGGCTGACTTGAGAAGGGCTCTGACTTGGGAGCTGAAGTGGCAGGAGGGGCCCAGGGTCGGCGCCTGCATGGCAGCTGTCCTTTGAAGGGCAAGCCCCAGGGAGAGAGGCTGTCATGAATCTGGTTTGAAACGTGATTTGTATTTCCATATTTGGCTAATGCTTGCTCTGTGGTTTTGACAAAGAATTCTTATTTTTTGAGAAAGAGCACGTGTAATGCAGCCGCAGGGCGGCTGAGCCTTCAGGCTCACCCCCCAGCCATGCTGTCTGAGCTCCACGCGGGAAGGTGCGGGAGGGCAGGTGAGGGGAGGTTGCGGCTCGGGGAGTGTCCCGTTCCCACCAGAGTCTGTCCTCCGTGGGCTTGTGGTTTTTCCTCTCTTTCTATCCCAGATGAAACTGTGTCCTGGAAGCCAGACGCCAGTCCCCAGCCTTTATTTACAGTGACATGCAGGTACACACATGCACGCAGTTACCACACACACCCACCATTTTCTAAGGCCTCGAGGTTCGAGGAGACAAAGGGCGCGTTTGTCCGCAGCCACGAGAGCATCCGTGCCTGTGTGGAACTGCACAGTCCTGAGTGCTGGCCTGCGGCCTTGGGTTCACCCAGCAGCTTCCTCCCTTCCATCTCTCTCCTCTACTTCCTCCTACCGCAGACATCTGCTCCTTCTGTCCTCTCTGTTGCTGCTCTTTCTCCTGCAAAAACAGGCATCCTCAGGGCCTCGCCTTCCCCATGTGGCCTGCCAAGGGGTTTTCCTAAGCCAAGGCATTGTGTCTCCGAGAGCAAGTCTGTGTTCAGCTCTCAGAATTATACGTGCTGCATGTGACTGGCTGGAAAAGCCGTGGTGCTCCGTGAGGCACCTCGTGGGGGAACCGGGCAGGGATGCGGCCTGTCCTGCCCCCCCACCACCCACTGAGCCTGGTGAGACATGAGGGGCTCCCATGGGTGCCCCATCCCCACCCTCAGTGTCAGCCCTCAACCCCAGCATGCTATGGCCAGGCCCCTTGGGCTGCCAGGTGACTGGGATTGCATTGAATCTATAAATTCCTTCGTGGAGAATTGTCGTCTTGGTAACAGAGCCTTCCAGCCTCTGAATATGGCACATCTCTCCATTTATTTAGGTCTTCTTTAGTATCTCTCAGCAATGTGTTGTAGTTTTCAGTGTATGGATCTTGCCTTGATTTTGTTGAATTTGTTCCTAGAAATTGTTTCTTCCCCATGCTGTTGTTAGGCGGTGTTTTCTGATTGCTTAGTTTCTGACTGTTACTCCCATAGAGAAATACAACAGATTTTTGTATATTGACATTGTATCCTACAACCTTCCTAAACTCGTTTATTAATTCTAGTAACATTTTAGTAGATTTCTTAGGATTTTCTACCGTTCTTTCACCTGCAAATAAAGACAGTTTGGTCTTGCTTTCTTAACTGTATACCTCTTATTTATATTTTCTTGCCTTATTGCATGGGCTAGGACCAATACTGAAGAGAGGTGATAAGACTCATGTCTAATCTTAATAGGAAAGCATCCAGTCTTTCACCATTAAGTATGACATTACCTCTAGGTTTTCATAGATGTTCTCTATCAGGTTGAGCAAGTTCCCTTGGGTTTGTAGTTTGCAGAATGTCATTTATCAGGAATAAATACTGGATTTGGTGAAATGTTGTTTGTTGAGATGATCACATGGTTTGTTAACAATTTTGTTTGCGTACCTTGGTTTTTGAATATTAAACCTAGTTCAATCTCCTGGGATAAACTCCACTCAATGCCGTGACTGGTGTGGTTCAGTTGGTTGGGTGACATCCCACAAAGCAAAAGGTAGTCAGTTTGATTACCCAGTCAGGGCATGTGCCTGGGTTGTGGGTTCGGTCCACGGTCAGGGCGTGTCCGAGAGGCAACCAATCAATGTTTCTTTCTCACATAGATGTTTCTCTCCCTCTCTTTCTTCATCCCTTCACCTCTCCCTAAAAATAAATAATAAAAAATTGTTTAAAATCCACTTGGTCATGATGTATTGTCTCCTTAATTTAGGTATAATGTTAAATTCAATTTTCTGAATGTTTAGAATTTTTTGTAAATGTTAAGAATCTTTGTCTCTATGTTTATAAGAGATACTGACTTATAGTTTTTTTATAATGTCTTTTTCTGTTGTTGGTAGCAGTCTAATGTTGGCCTCATAGAATGAGTTGGAAGGTGTTATCTTTTTTCAATGTATGTAGGGTTTTGTGTAAAATTGGTATTATCGCTCGCTTAAAATTTTGGCAGAATTAACCAGTGAAAACATCTCGTCCTGGATTTGTGTCTGTGGGAAGCTTTTACACCATAAATTCCATTTCTCTAATAGATGTTATCTATTTCTTCTGGAGTGAACTTTTCTAATTTGTATCCTTCAAGAAATTTCTTAATTTCATATAAGTTGTCTAATTTATTGGTGAAATATTGCTCATGATGTTCCCTTATCATTTAAATGTCTGTAGGATCTGTAGTGATGTTCTCTTTTTCATTTCTGATATTGGTAATGTGTGTCTTTTTTCTTTTCCTGATCAGTATGTCTAGAGGTTTATAAATTTTGTTAATCTTCTCAAAGAACGAGCTTCATGTTTCATTGATTCTTTTTTTAATTTTCAGATTTATGCTGTTTATTATTTCCTGTCTCCTACTGACTTTATTTTTAATTAGCTCTTCTTTTTTCTCATTTCTTAAGCTTATATGTATGAGAGACTTTCTTCCTTTCTCATGTAGGCATTTAATGATATAAATCTTACTCTAAACACTGCTCTACTTTCATCCTACAAATTTCGATATGTCATTTAAAGATTTTAAATCTTGTTCAAAATATTCTTTCACTTCCTTTGTGATTTCTTCTTTGACCTGTGGGACATTTAGAAGTGCATGGTTTCATTTTAAGGAGTTTTTTGGATATCTCTCTGACACTAATTTCTAATTTAACTTCATGATGACAAGAATATACTTTGTGTAATTTAAATCATTTAAAGTTTATTAGTGAAGGAAGGCTGAGGACCCACGGGGGCCTGTTGGCGGTGCGCGGAGTAAAAATCTTCTTCGGAAGACACCAGCGGGTGTTAAGCAAACAGGGGGTTTGATTGGAATTGTACCTGATGGGCCTGCTTGTGCCTGATGGAAACGAGAGAGGAGAATTGGGTGCCTGGGGAGGGGAACCCGAGACCTGAGGTTTCCCTGCGTCATGAAGGAGAGCAGACAGTTGTCTACAGGGTGGCTCTCCGGGGAAGCGTGTAACTTTGTGACAGGACTGATAGGAATAGGGCAAAAGGGCTGTGGGTGAGGCGGAGGAGCTTGGTGTTCTGGAAAGAGCCCGGGACTGGACATCGGGCGAGCATTTGCCACGTGACTCTGAGCATGTCGCTCCATCTTTCGGGGCCTTAGTTTCTTCACCTCTAAAAGAAGTGGCCGGTCTCGATTATCCTGTCGTTTCAACGGCCAAGGCTGCGCGGAGAGGGGCTTAGCAGACAGGAAAAGCTGGCCCCTTGAGATAGACAAACAGCCAAGAGACACCCTGAGGTGTAAGGCCTAAAATTAAGATCCAATGTTACATGCTTTTTGACACCTGGTGAAACCAGGAGGGTCTCGAGGGGCCTAACTGCCCGTGTCTTCCCCGGTCTGTGCCTGTGGGACAAAGTCCCCCGGCCAAGCACCACTTCTCTCAAGGGACCAGGCACAGTTCCTGAATCCCTGAGACGTGTATTTTAGTTTCCTGCCAACCTGTGAATGCATCAAATAAGCCCATCCATCCTCCTTCAGGAATCAGGGCCCCCCCGCCCCCCCTCTTGATGATGCAAAGCCTCCTCCCGCAGTGCCAGGGGGTTCCCTGCTCCTGAGCACACCCCCATGTGACCCTCCTGGTGTGCAGCGTGAGTGCCTGTCATTGATCAAGCGCGGTCCATCTGCGCTGTGCAGGGTCAAGTGCGGGGCGTAGGGCCGTCCCCAGAACCCCAGGGTGGGGAGCGCTCCCTCACCAGCAGGGTTGGCCGGGCCAGGTGGCCCAGCTGGTTGGAGCATTGTCCTGTGCACCAAAAGGTTGCAGGTCTGGTTCCCGGTCGGGACACACGCCTGGGTTGTGTGTTCAATCTCTGGTCTGGACGCATACAAGATGTTTCCCTCTCACTCGATGTTTCTCTTTCTCTTTCTTGGGTGAAGATTGAAAAACAAAACAAAACAGAAAACACCCTTTCTCAGAGTGAACACAGCCCCCGCTAGGGTAAGGGGCTGGGCCAGGGTAGCCCTGGGCTGGATTTCAGCCCCCGCGCGCCTCCCTAGGGGGCGCCACGGGCAGGACGCTACCTGAACACCTGTGCCCCGCAGCTCTGAGCATCCCTATTTGTTGGAGTCTGGTCTGTGCTATGATCCATTAGCCTTGTCGCCCACCCCTAGAGGAAGGTTCCTGGATCATTCCCATGTCATAGACGAGGAGTCTGTAAGTGCTGGGGAGGGACTGGACCCAGCTCTGTCTGGAGCCTGCCCTCGTCTGTCCTATGACCTACTTTGGAGGCTCGGGGTGAGAAACCTGCAAAGCCAGGCTCTGTGAGGCGGGGCAGGGCGCTGAGTGAGGGTGTGGAGGCTGAAGGCAGCCAGGTGGGCCCCTGGGGGGCTGAGGCAGGCGGGGAGTCCAACCAGGGCAGGGGAAGCAGCAGCCAGCCTGGCCCTGGCCACACCCAGCCCTCCGGGCTGCCCAATTCCGTCCTCTGATTGCAGATAAGGCAGTTTCTTCCATCTAGTTCCTTCCATCTGGATCTTTGGCCAGAGGGGCTCCGCCCAGGCAGAACTTCTAGAACCAGGTGCTTTCCCTGATGACCACCTCTCTCTGGTTGCTCCTGGCTGGTGCTGATCCCCTACGATAATCAGCAGAGAGAGCAGGGATGCGTGGGGAAGCGGCTGCCCCTTCCCAGCAGGGAGGGCAGAACTGGGAGTCAAGTCTCAGGAGAGTGTAAACTCTACGAGATCGGGTCGCAGGGACCGCGGCCCACCCAAAGCCTAGGGCAGGGCCTGGAACAGCAGGAACACAACAAAAACAACTGAAGTGAGAGAGCAAAATACGTCCCAGCGTCCCTGTGTTCTCCAACAAGTCACATAACCTCTCTGTGTCTCCACTGCTTCGACAAGGAAATCGTACACAACAGCCCCTTGTGGGGTTATCATCTGGATTATGCAGGAGACTATGTTAAAGCAGCGCGGGCCCGCTGAACACCAGCTGCTCTCATTACTGTTGCCGTGACTCGGTCCCTGCTCCTCCTGCGGACGCCGCAGAGGCCAGGACCAGGCACAGCCGCTGCTCAGGGCCAGCATGTGCTGTGGGCCTGCGTCTGTCCCTGGTTGCTTTTGTGTACCAACTCAGTGAAACCCAAAAGCCGCTCTTCCAGCAAGGCTGGTTTTCCTCTTTTTTTTTATACCCGTTTTACAAATGAGGAAGCAGAAACGTAAGGGTGATCCTGACTGTAGAATGAAGTTGAAGACCATCCCCTCATGCCTCCTCTCTCCAGGCACATACGTGGGAGTAGCATGATTTGTTCCTGGAGGGTCCAAGAGAACTCACTGTGGCTCTGCCTGGGCCTGGAAGTCTCTGGGGGAAGATGTAACTAGGACAGCAGAGGCTGTCTCTCCCCAGTGAGTTTTGGTAGCAGAGGTGAGTAACATGCCCAGGGAGGTGGGGATGCTGCTCCAGGCAGTCTGGCTGCGGAGCCGTGCTCGCGACCACTGTGTCACCTGCCTACGGCACCATCACCTTCTACGAGTGAGGCCTGGAGTAAGTCACTTCATCCCTCTGAGGTTGTTGTTAACGCAGATAGCAATTGTCTTTCCCTCACAGGGTTGTTGTCAAAATTAAATGGTCCCACAAACACAAGCTTCGCCACCACTGCAGCCGCGAGTGTCACCCCATGACAAGCCCAGCCCGGTCCCTGCCCTCTCCACCCAGGATGTCTCCCTGACCCTCGGGCACCACACCTGCAGCCCCACCCAGCAGCATCCTGGTGTGAGAGCAAGCCCAGGCCCACTCCCAGGTGGCCAAGAGTCACTCACTGGTTCTCCAGGTCCTGGATGGTGTCAGGTAGTGGAAGTCCCCTCGTCTCCGGGAGGAAGAGCAGGACAAAAAGACTGGAAATGATGGGGGTGGCACCGTAGGAGAGGGTGGGCAGCAGGGGCACGACCTGGCGGGTCATCCTGATCAGCTGGCCCAGCACAGCCCCCAACCGACCGACTGACTGCAAGAAGCCATCTGCTGTCATCCTGTGGGCAGAGGGGATGGCCCAAACGCTTGTCACTGTTGGCACTTTAGAGGGGAGGGCTTTACGAAAGCGAGGAGTTGGGGGGAGGGACATTTGGTTGGGTCAGGAGATACCAGGGGAGGAAAAACTGGGCTACAGCAGGTGCCCATAATGTCACCTCCTCCATGGAGCCCACCTAGATTTTCCCATCCAGAGACAGAGGTGGGGGCTTTGCTTCCTGGGAACATGCAGCGTCTTTCTTGGGAACTATCTAGGGCCCCTTCCACTCTGGTCTTAGGTAATTTGGAGGTTGGCCTCAGGGCTCCTGCTACACCACTGAGTTGCCAGCTTGCGTTTTCTATATGATATCAACAAAATCAATTAGTACGCATCAAAAAAATTAAAGAAAGAATGGACACGTGAGTAAATGAGTGCCAGGAATGAGGGAGAGCACTGGGCTAGGAGTCAGAGGAACTGAGGTCCACTCCTGATCTTCTATTAAGGAAGTCCTTTGATACTAAGTCCTTAAGCCTCAGTTTACCCAACTGCTCAACGTGGGGGCGGTCTAACTTGAGACCACTTGTTTTCCATCTGTGTCCCCTGGGGCCCTTGGACTCTGAGCGGGTGACTCCACCACGACAGGGGTGGGTAGTGGGGGGCAGGTAGCCGTCCCCGCTCTCCCAGGGCAGCTCTTGCTTTCCTTGCCAGATTCCACCCCAGCAGAGGGGAGTTTCCAATCGCAAGCCCAGAGGCCTGCTGGGGGCCCCGCTGTCGGGCAGCGGCTGGGGCAGGGCTTGGGGACAGGCTGCTCTGAGAGGCCCTGGCTGAGGATGGCCTTCGGGGAAGGAAGCTGGGCCGTGCGGTCCGTTCCAGGTCGGCAGCTGGATCCCTCTGCTGTGTATTCCTGGGTGCTCTGCCCTCCTTGGCCTTGCAGGGGTGTCCCTTCCTCCCCCACCTCCAGGTCGGGCAGCCCCTCCTGGGCACAGCCCGCAGCCCAGCCTACCGCAGCGAGGTTGGGAAGAGTTCAGACTTGTAGACAGAGAAGCAGGTTAGGCATATGCCAAGACAGCCCTTTCCCAGGACAGCGAAGACCACTCGCAGGCTCTGAAAGTCTGGGAAGAGGAAAGATGAGAGGAGGGTCAGCCCGGGAGGTCGCCCAGCCAGCCCAGAGCTGAGGCGCCAGGTCTTCCGCGGGCTTCCCTGTGCTGAAAGCAGGACCCGGGCAGTGCCAGGCCGCCCAGGGTCACATGGGGACTCAGGGCAGGATGACATCATGGCAGGTGGCGGGGGGTGGGATGCAAGGCAAGAGGGCAGCCAGGTCTGGGATGGGTGGGCACGGCCAGGTGGCTGAGGGCCGCACAGGGGGCCTGCCTCCCACCGGGTGGCCACTGCGCCACGTCCCTCGGGCCCTGAGAGCCCTGGGCCTTTCCCCTGCAGGAGACGGTCATGCGGGGGCGCAGGCACCCAGGGTCCTTCTCACTCTCCCTTGGCCTGCCTGCGGGGACCCCTGGGTTCACAGAGAGCCATGGGCGGGTAGCAGGGTTCCTCACCAGGAAGCTGAGGTCCAGGTCACACTCCAGCCATCCCTGCCTCTGCTCCTGTCTCCTCCCTTTTTAAATAAATTGTTTTTAGCTCTGGCTGGTGTGGCTCAGTGGATTGAGCGCCAGCCTGCGAATCAAAGGGTCGCTGGTTCGATTCCCAGTCGGGGCGCATGCCTGGGTTGTGGGCCAGGTCCCCCAGTGGGGGCACTCGAGAGGCCACCACACGTTGATGCTTCTCTTCTTCTCTTTCTCCTTCCCTTCCCCTCTCTAAAAATAAATAAAATCTTTAAAAAATAAATTTTTAAAAATGTATTGATTTTAGAGAGACAGAAGAAGGGAAAGAGAGGTGAGATCGATTTGTTGTTCCACTTACTTATGCATTCATTGGTTGATTCTTGTATGTGCCCCAGCCGGGAATGACTTGAACTGGCAACCTTGGCATATCCGGACAATGATCTAACCAACTGAGCTATAGGGTCCAGTCTCCCTTCTTGACAAACAAAAGGGACAGGAGAGGCTCTCCAGGGCCCTGCGGCCTTATTCCGAAATAAAAGAGGACGACAAAGGCCCCCAGCAGCCACCCCAGCTCTCTGCACACAACACCGCACTCACGGGGCTTGGTGCCTCACTGCCAGCCACCTGAAGCCACCTGAAGCCCGCCGCAGCCCTCCCTGCCCTTCTCCCCCTGCAGGCTCCAGCCCGGCCCTGAAGTCTGCTCCAAGCCCTGGCTCCAGCACCTGCTGGCTGAGGGATCTTGGGCACGTGACTTCACCACCTTGAACCCCACCTTCCTCAGGAAGATGGGCAGTGACTATTTGGGGATTGGATTCCTGAGATGATATGGCAAAGGCTGTAATGGCGATAGGCTTGGGCAGGGCTGGGGCAGGGGGCCCTCCCAGCCTTGGGGCCAGGGGAGGGGAAGGAGGCCAGGGTGGGGCAGGCGGAGCGGGGGACAGGGCAAGGAAGCAAGGGCCCAAGACGGTCAGCGGCTCCCTGTCTTCTCCTGCTCGCTGCCCTGCCTCACCTTGTGGGACCAGCATGTTGGCCAGGATGCAGAGGCCGGCTAAGGCAAGGGAGCTGACCAGGGTCACACGGCGGCCAAAGAACTTGAGCAAGAAGTTGTTGGCAGCCCGGCCCAGGAAGTCCATGGTTCCGAAGAGGACTTGGAGGAAGAAGATGTTACCCCCCAGATTCTGCAGGTCGTAGACCAGCCCGGTGTAGGACATCATGACAGAGAAGCTGCAGGGCAAAGCCGGAAGTCAGGTCCCTGCCCACAGGGAGAGGGCCCCCTGCAGCCCTGCCGGACACCGCGGCCATCCCCAGAGGACACAGCCGAGCCGGAGCTGGTCACGGCCGGGCCGCAGAAGCCTGCCCAGTGCAGGATGCCTCCCGAGGGTCAGGCTGTCCCAGGAGAAGGAGGGAAGGGCTGGGCCGTGGGTCGAGGGAAGGCCTGACCGGCCCAGGGCAGACAGGGGCTCTGTGGGTCAGGCTGAGCTGCCCCCTGTCCAGTTCTAGCACCCTCTGGCTTTGTTTCTGGAACCACGACCTGGCTCCTGCTCTGATAACCAGAGAGGTCCCTGCCCGTCTCTGGTTGCCCATTTCTCTGTCTTGAAAGATGGATTCATGAGGCCTCTGTGGAGGAGGCGGAGCTGGGCTGCCCCTCCTTCAGGATGGAAGGTCTGATGTCCCCGATCCTTGGCGGTGCCACCTCTCAGCCGGGGAGAGCGCCCCACGACAGGTCTTCATGGCCAGAGGGACATAAGACTTCTCTCTGGTTGAGCCCAAGACCCCCGCAGGGAAGCCCCTGCTGGCTGAGCCCAGGCAGCTGGCAGGGGGAGGGGGGAGACAGGCGGGCTTCCTGCCACTCAGGCTTCAGGCCTGCGAGTAGGTGAACTTACAGTAGCTGGATTTCCAGTCTGGAGATTGAATTTGGATCCACCAGTGCCCACAATGTGAACTTAATTCTTGGCTGCTGTTCAAATCCGTCCCCATCCCTGTTTCACCAGGACACTCACCCCAGCCCTCCCTGCTGCGTCGCCTGAAGGCTGTGCCCACAGCACCTGACGCCACCAGCAAGGTAAACAACAGCAGAGCAAAGCTGCCGTGTCTCCTGATGTTTGTGAAGGTGATGTGGGGGCCCACACTCGGTGTGACAGTCCAGAACAGCTGGGTTAGCAGCCAAAGGCAAGAAAACCCACGAGGGCCGCTGCTCTCCAACCTGTGATTGAACAACAAAGGGTGCAGCGCAGCCCTGGGGAGAGCCCAGGAAGCCTCGGAGGCCGGGGAAAGAAGGACCCTGGGCTCTCCTGGCACAGCGGCACTCCTTCTAATTTGTCAGAAAGAAACTAAACCAAAACAAACAAACAAACAAACAAAACCCTGGCTGGCTCAGTGGCTCAGTGGATTGTGTGCCAGTCCGCAAACCAAAGGGTCACCAGTTCGATTCCCAGTCAGGGCACATGCCTGGATTGCAGGCCAGGTCCCCAGTAGGGGGCGCTCGAGAGGCAACCACACATTGGTGTTTATCTTCCTCTTTCTCCCTCCCTTCCCCTCTCTCTATAAATAAATATTTTTTTTAAAAAAAAGCATTTAAGAAAATTTAAAAAAAGCATTTGATCCATTCTCTGTTCTAAGATGTAGTAAATGTTTGCCCTTTATAACTCTGTGGTTAAATATAGCATAAAATAAACATTCTCCTAATCTCCAGTTTTATTTGAAGATAAGTTCCAATCAAATTGGACCCTCACTTTTCAATATGCTCTCCTAGAAGTCACTTCAGCTGCATTTGTTTTATAAAGGGGACTTTCCTTAGTCCCAGGGCCCTTGGGTGCCAAGACAGGGCCTCCTGGCGGGGTAAGGGGGAGGATTCCATGCCCCACGTGGGATCTGCAGGTGACACCTGGGAGAGGAGACAGCTCAGCCTCCGTTCAAACACCTGCTCATCATCTTGAGCAAGCTACTTGCCACTCTGGACCCTTCTGTCCCCATCTGTACATGGAGGTGTAAGTGAACTTATCTCTCAGGGCTGCTCAGAGGGGTAAGTAGGTGACCCCGTACACTCAGCCCCCTAGAAGCGCACTGTTGGGGTGAGTCCATCGTTGACACGCAGGGGGCCGCTCCAGCCACTGCTGGGCCAGGTGCCCCCTGGACCCTGTGCTTTCAGCCTGCCCCGCCTGCCCCCACAGCAGGAGCTGGCCTTCAGGCGACACCCGCACTTACTGCCTGTCCCCTGCCTTCCAGGGCTTCTGTCTCCTGAGGAGCTGCCTGTCCCTGCCAGAAACGCACCCCAAGAGGCCTGCTGGGGTCCCCACGCGACATCCCTCTCCCCGCCTCCGCAGCTCCACGGCCAGGAGGGCAGACGAGGGCGGCGTACTTCACCAGGAGCAGACAGCAGCTTCTCCCGCGGAGTATGCGCACACGGAACAGGTCCAGCAGTGACTGGCAGGCCTTCGCGGAGGCCACCTCCTCCTCTATGCTGGACATCAGCACCTCCCAGGGAAACAGGGCCACAGTGAGGGCTGCACCCAAGGCCCTGCCCCACCCCCATCCTAGGGAACGGTGTCCAGAGTGATGGGGGAGCCCGGGCCTTGACCTCCGGAGACTGGAGGGCCCTCGGGGGGAGGGGGAGGCGGGCAGAAAGGGCTTTCTCTGCCTCTTGGCTGAGCTTCCTCCCCAGACCCGGCCTGCCTACTGGGACCAAGGAGCGAGTCGCACGCCCCGCTCTGGTCCTCTGAGCTGCAGGCAACCGGACGCTCTCAGCAGTCACTGTGCAGAACCCTGCCCTCCCTCCTCACTCACCAACTTCACCACTTCAGGGCCTGCCCACTGCGGCCACCCTGGCCCCTCTCCACGCCGCAAGGGCCCATCCAGCCTCCTGCTGCACCCCTGGGCTCTGCCTGCCCTGGGCTCAGTCCAGTGCTGGTCAGCCCTAGCGCGCCTCTTCCTGGAAGCCTGCCCTGATCCTCCACCCCAGCGTGCTTCGTGTCCTCTCATCTCTGGGACCGCACATCCCCCCGCATCTACTTCCTTGAAAGAGTGATCTTTGAATGAGAACGTCCTGTTTCCCAAATACACTGAGAAGCCCCATGAGGTGGGTGTGCAATACAGGCGGAGTAAGGCGGTGAATGACAGAGGTGGTGAGGTGGGTGTGTTGCTGGTAACGGTGGTGGTGTTATTGGCGGCGGTGACGGTCGGGAAGGTGACGGTGACGGTGATGACGGCCGTTTGTAGAGGTGCTGTTGGGGGTGTGAGTGATAGTGTTGGTGACGCCAGTGGTGAGGAAGATAAAATTGCTAGGGGCGGTCTGTTGACGGAGGCGGTGACGGTGACGGGGGAGCGTGGGTAGCTGTGGGTATCAGCGGTGTCGCTATTACTGGTGGCAGCGATGGTAGCTGTGTTTGTGTAGCAATGATGGGAGTGGCGGTGGCCATGGGGGGTAACAGTGGTGACGGCGGAGGAAATGACGGGGGCGATGAGGGTGACGAGGACGGTGACGACGGTGGTGGTGGTGGCGGCGGCGGCGATGGTACCGGTGGTGTTGATGGAGGTGGTGGTCGAGTGGGCAGTGGTGAAGCTGGTGCTAATGCTGATAACATGTCGGCAGGTGTCGTGTCCCAGTCACGTCCCACACTCTATGTCACAAACAGCAGCATCTCACCTCTATGGTCAGAGTCTTTCTGGCATCCTTGTGGCCATTTATCCTGGCCACCTTTTGGAGTTCCTGAAGGGCTCGGTCTGGTTTGCCAGTAACAATCAGCCATCGTGCAGATTCCGGCAGCCACCTGTCAGAGAAAGAGCTGCCTGGCTGGGTCTTTGCCTTTTACCGTGTGTTCGGGCCACGCCCCCGAGTCAGGTGTGGAGGGCGTGGTGGGCAGCCGACCCGCCCCCCGGCCAGGAGAGCGAGGAGACACGGCCACGTCTCCCTCTGCACTGCTAATGCCAGCCTGGGAGGCGCCGTCTCTTTGAGAGTCTCAGATGAGCACCAACGCCTCTCCCGCAGGGCCGCCCCATCTGGCTCCCTGGATGCCTGGGCCCTGCCCGCCTGGGCCATGCACACAGCGGCTCATGGGCTGCCTGGGCACGGGCTGATTCTGGGGCCATTGCAATGGGAGAAAGCTTACCTCATGCTGAATTACACACACACACACACACACACACACACACACTAAAAACATTGCCAGCCAGACCAAACGGTTTTACAGACAAGCCTGCTTCTTTCCAGCCTCGGGGCAGATGGGCAGGGAGAAGGGTCTCCCTGGTGGAAGGGGCAGAGCTTTCCAGCAACAGGGTCTCAGCCCGGTTTGTAGAGAAGCTAAGAAAAACTTCCAGAGGCAGTTTGACAGACAGTGGTTTAAAAGAGTCAGGCTGCCTGGGGTCCAATCCTGCCTCTGGCTCACACTGGCTACGTGGCCGTGGGCGAGTGACCGACCCTCTTGAGGCCTCAACCCCTCATCTGAAACCACTGGTAATAGCATCATCTCCCTCATTAGAAGAAACGTTAATACACATCTGGTGTTACCAACAACAGCCAGGACACACCCAAACAGTGCGACCCTGTGGCTTGCCTCATGGGTGTCATTAGAGGCTGTCTTCCTCTTTGCTTACAGATCCTGTTTATACAATAACACTCTGTATGGTCAGTGGCTTTATTTGCTGTGTCCCCAATGCCTAAAACCATTTCTTGTCCAGGGTTAGAGTGCAGTGAATACCTGAGAGGTAAGGAACAAGCCCTAATGACTGCAGCCCACAGTGGACTTACCTGGGCCCAGGTGAGCTCAACTGTTTCACGGGCCCAAGAAAACCCACGGGACCTGAATTTGTGTTTGTTTCCCAGTGTCTCTTCCTCTAGTCCCCACCCAAGCAGGTACAGTCAGACCTCGGTACGTGCTGGCTTCAGAGCTCATCAAGTCAAACCTTGTACTCGCTGCATGTACGTGGGAAAAGGATGTTTCAGCACTCGGGGCTTGCTCAGGGATGCGTCGAACTTGTTTGAGTCACAACGCCCCGCAAGAGAAAATGCTTCATCGTTCGGTCCTCGTCAGTCTCAGCACTCGTCTCAGGTTCTGGGACGAAGTAGCGACAAATACCGAGGTACCACTGTATTTGCAGGCCTCAGGGATTTTTGTAGCACCAAAATAATAGTGGCGATGATTCCTTTCCATATGCGATGGCTGTCCTCATGACTTGCATGCCCACAGGCTCAGCACGTGATGTGCAAGCGAGGCCGCCAAGTGTGGGGGTGCTGATGCCAATGTAAGGGAGGTCAGCGGGCTGGACAGGACCTTCAGGCCTCTGGCTGAAACGCACACCCTGGAACTCTGACGCCCCGAACCACCTCTTCCCAGCAAGGGCTCCGTTCGCATCACCCCTTTCCATGGCTCTCAGCTTTGTGGGACTCACAGCCAGCCCGGGGGGCGGGGCCGAGGGCCACACTCCTCCCCTGGGTCCCCCTCCTGTTCACTGATGCTCTCCCCAAGGGCAAAGGCCCCACACTGTACCCACCAGCATATCAGGAAGAAGGCAAAGTAGGGCGCTGACGTGGCCAGGTGGAGGGCTCGCCAGTCCCGCAGGGCAAAGGCCAGACCCCCCAGGACTATCTGGCCTATGCAGTAGGTGCATCCCAGAATCGTCATGCTGAGAGCATGCCTCTGAGTCGTGGTCCACTCCACCACTGGAAGGCGAAGCGGGGGAGAGCAGGTAAGGGCCGCGCGTGGTGGCCTTGGGCCCCGTGCTCCCCTCCCCGCCGTGGCAGGCGACGGGCTGAGCCGGCGACTCACTGAGTATCGTCGAGGTCAGGGTGATTCCGGACAACCCAAAAGCACACAAACACCGGAGGCCACAGTAGATGAGGAAACTGGGGGCAAAGATGGCACTCGTGTTGGCCACGGCCACCAGCAGGCAGGACCAGCTCAGCATCGGCGTCCGCCCAAACCTGTTTGGGGAGCAAGCACGGCAGGGCCTGGAGAGGGGCCTGGGGACCCGGACATAGAGGACTGAAGCCGGGCGGCTGCCTGCTAGAGCCCCGCAGTGGGCGCGCATGTTAGGGCAGGACGCACGTCCTTCTCAAAGCCCATAGGGGCCCATGTAGAGTGCGTTTGCCATAAAAATGGCAGGCGCCTTGCTCTCAGCGGGCAGCATAGTCTCACAGTCAAAAATGGACTTTGGCATCAGACGCCTGGGTTTGGGTCCCACTCTGCCCTTCATGGGTGACCCTGAGCACGTGACTCAATGTCTCTGAGCCTCAGTTTCCCCATCTGTAAAATGGAGGTATTCACAATGACATGCCTTGTAGAGCTGTTGTGAAAATCAAGGCACTCGCTGAGCAAGGGAACGGCGTGGCCAGGAAGCGGAGCACACGTGGCCCCGGGCCAATCCGCCGGTTTGCTCTCCACCTACCTGTGCACAGTGATGGGACCTCTCAGGGAACAACCCGAGGAGGTCCCTCCGTCCCCGGCCCGTACGCCCACAGTGCCGCTGCTGCCGTGGGCCACCTCAGCCAGAACCACCGCTGCGTTCAGCTGAGTGTGTGTCGGTTCGATCGGAGAGATGTGGGCAAACCTCAGCCCTGCCTGTCTGAGCAGCGGCCAGGAGCAAGGACGCCCAGCCCAGACCCGAGGTGACACCTGGCTCTGACCCGAGGCTCCCGGGGACCGCAGACTGACTGCAATTCGGCTCCCTGTGCAGACAGTCCCCAGGGACAGGGAGGCAGCGGCATGTCCCTCCCTGCCGCTCAGTCTCCCTGCTATGCTCAGGGCCCTCTGGAACCCACAGCTGCCAGGCTGAGGCCCGAGCTCTCGATGTGATTCACTCACTTATTATATCACAACAACCCCAGCGGTAGGTGCCAGGGTCCCCACTTACAGGAGGAAACCAAGGAACTGAGTAGCAGCAGACCTGCCTTCTAGGAAGAAGCTAGGACACGCAAGGTGGGGATTGGGACACAGGGGTGGGACAGCAGAGCCTGCACTGTCTGGGGGAAGCCAGAGGCCAGGAAGCCGTAGATCCACTCGCGAGGCTATGACTGTGCCATGCGGGCTCTGGGGATACCACCCCGGAGCCCCTGCCTCCTTGGAGCTACGTCTCGCGGGGACACAATAAATGAGTGGGTGTCGTGCGGGGAGGTTATGATGAGGGATGGAGGCAAGACCACCGGACATCGGTGCCCAGGCCAGGGCAAGGGCAGCCTGGAAGGTCTCCCTGAGGCGGAGGCCTGGAGCCTAGGCCAGCGTGCCGGGCACAAAGCAGAGGTGGGGCGGGGGGACAGGTGGGTGTGGACAGGGACTGTCCTGGGTAGCCGTCCACCTGCAAGGTCACCGTGAGGGCTGCATCGGGACAGGCTTCCTCCGCAGAGCTGGCGGTGGCCCGGCAGAGGCTGGAGACCCAGGAGCAGACGGGGGCCTGCCCAGGCCCGAGGTGGTAGTGACTTGAGCCAGGGGACAGCGTGCAGAAGGAGGGGGTCAGGCTAGGGGGCAAGAGAAGGGGAACAGGGGTGGCTTGCAGGGTCCTGGGGTGCCCGTGGATGGGGCTGTTTCCTGCGATGGAGTCTGGGGGCGGGGCGGGCGGGGGCGTCCGCGGTCCAGCCTTGGCCCACGTTGGGGAGGCGCCTCCAAATGGAAGCTGCAGGCAGGCGGGGAGGTTCTCTAGCTGAGGGACGCCATGGGCACCGGGCAGCAGGGCTGGCAGGAGAGGAGGGCAGCGGCAGGGGAAGGCCCCGGACTGCTTCCCGGCGCACCAGCAGGCGGGGGAAGAGAGGGAGGCGAGACGGAGGGGTGTGGGAAGGGACTGGGAGTATTTCCACTTCATAGAGTGTCTTGTACTTGAAGTTAGAGAAACAAGAGGGGTCTGTTTCTCCCCAGAAGACTGTTAGCTCCCTGAGGGCAGGGGCTGTGCAGCGTCCAGCACACAGTAGGTGCTCAGTAAAGGTGGATGCGGCAGCTGAAGGACAGAGAGCTGCGGCGCTCGGGACGTCTCACCCGACTTGGGTTCTTGGGCATCACTGCCCCCGGGCAACCTGGGACCCCTGTCCAGACCCCGGACCAAGGGAGCCCATCCTTAGTGAGCATGGACTCGCACGTGACATTTCCGAACGGCTGCCCCGCCCCGCCCCGCCCATTCTGCCCTGAAGGAGCCCCCCCAGAGGGGAGGGGTACTTACCGGCAGGAGAAGAAGCCCCAGATGAAGAAGCCCAGCAGGACCCCAGTCAGGAAGCCAGCCTGGCCCAAGGACTTCAGGCCCTGGTGGCCGCATACCAGGTCCCACTGGAGGAGAGGGAGGGTGCGACAGCCTGGCTCAGGGGACATGGACTAGCGGACCCGGGTGGCAGAGGGAGGTGCAGGCTGGGAGTTCCCAGCCCAGGTCCTGCGGGTTCAGGACCCATGGGGCAGGGGTGGGGGCGGGCCCAGATCCCGAGAGCCAGGTGACAGAGGTGGAAGGGGGTGCTGGCCCTCGGCCTCCACTCTCCACTCGCAGCTGCGTGGCATGAATGCGACGGATGGGCCACGGCTTCGGGTCCCCGGCGGGCGGTGGTGGGAGCCCCGCCGACCACTGGCTCCGGAGAGCCCTGCGCCGGGTGGAGCCCGTTTCCTCACCCAGTTGCTCCTCACAGGCCATGAGGAGGGACAGGGCAGGGAGAGGGTGCCGCGCACGTGTCACTATGTTTTTCAGCGCCTCCCGCCCAGGATGGGTGTCCCTCACCTGACCACGCCCCACCCCTGCCTGGTCAGTTCTCTCTGCTGAGGCCCGACAGCGACAGCGTCCCTTGCGCTCTCCCTTTCTGCCTCCCTCTCCTGGGTGGTGGCAGCAGGAGCCATCCTGCAAAGCGACCTCTTGAAAATGCAAATCAGATCACATGGTTTCCCTGCCCCAAAGCCGCCTCCAATGACTGTCCTTTACACTTAAGGAAAATCAAGGGCCCACTCCCTGCCCTGCACTTGGCTCAGACCTCGGGGCCTTCTCCTTGCCTCCAGGCAACTGAGCCCTTCTCTAGGAATCCAGGTCTCATCTTTAAGTCCCCTCTTCAGAGAGGCCTTCCCCACGCCTGTCCCTTCTCCACTCCCCGGTGGGACCTGCGTTAGGTCTTCGCCAGCTTCCGACCCTGGAGGCAGGACAGGAGAGTGCGGAGTCCCAGGTCCGGGCTCCTGATTGCCTAGGCTGATTCAGGTGCCCGTGCACTTTAGCTGTGTGTCCTGGGACAAGGTGCTCAACCTCTCTGTACTTCTGTTTTGTCCTTTATTAAATGGGGACAATAATAAACCCCACCCCACAAGATCATAGCAAGAATGACCACAGGGAAAGCATCTGGAACGGCGTTGGCTACTTAAAGGGTGAAAGGTAAAAGCTCCCTCTGCTGCTGTTACTGGCTTAAATGTTGACTGATTCTGAACCCACCAGCCGTGCCAGACCCTGGGAGCCTTTTGTTCATCCTGTAACCTGAGCCACGGATCGGATCGGAACCCAGGCCCTCAGTGAGCAGCAGTATGTGTAGAAGGCAGCATGTCATTTCATCGCAAGTGATAGAGGCGCTACGATGCCCCCAGGCCCTGGTGGACGGCCGACACTGGGGGCCTGGGAAGGAGGACAGCTATGGGGTGGGGGGGGCCTCACCTCGGTCACAATGGTGGAGGTGAAGGTGCTGCGGTCGTAGACCCAGCCGTCCACGCACAGCTCTGTGGCTGCCTCGCTCCAGTTGGTGGCTGTGGCGTTGGGGTCCAGGAGATGCCACTGTGGGTGACGGAAGCGGCGACACTGATGGGGCTCGTGGTCGGGGCCCAGTGGGATGGAGATGACCAGGAGGGCCTCAGGTGTGAGGTTGGTGGGGACCTCAGAGCCATTGTCCAGCATGTGGGCCCAGCAGCGGTGGCCCGGGGTGGCCGCCGAGAAGTTGTCCAGGAGCATTTGGGAGGGTAAGAAGACAGAGGGGAGCAGGAGAGTGAGGACCTGCAGGGTCTGGAAGCGGCCCACACCCCCTGCTCGCTCCAAGAGCTCGGAGAATGCCATGGCCAGAGCTGCCCGCACCCAGGGCAGGTCTCCGGGCGGCGGGGCGGGGGCGGGTGGGGAGCCGGTGAGGGCCCGGCCTGCTGCAGGGAACACTAGCGAGCGCAGGATGCTGGGCCCCCAGGCCTGCCCCCGATCACCTCTCCCGATGCGCGAGCTCAGACCACTGTCCAGCAACAAGTCAAGTCAGTCCTAAGCTGACCTCAATGCTCTGAGAAGCTCCTCCTTACCCTGTTCCCAGGAGGAACTGCATGGGGGCCCCGCGGCTCTAGGGAAACTAGGGGTCAAAGCTCATTGTGCCCTGACTGCCTGGGGTGCCTGAAGCACTCTGGTTCTCCAACACTGAAAGGTCAAGTACATTTTAAAAAATTATAATAAGATGCAACGCTGTGATGTTACTGAATTACAGTTGTGAAGGAAATTATCAACTTCGGCTGCTGCCGTGTTGCCTGGGTTAAAGTTTAATCTGTATGTAGGTTCCTGGTGAGAAAGGCAGGCTCAGCTACAAGAGAGTCCCCAGCAGCTCCCTGCTGGCTGGCTTATCACACTCCCAAATCTTGAGCTTTCAGAATGCTCCCCATGTGGCCCTTTCAGTCTGAGAACTGTTGGCCTGCCCTCCACCCATGCTGGACAATTTAAGCCCATCTGGCTAAAGCACTGAGGTGAGGACAGGGCAGGGCCCACCCAGCTGGGCTTCGAGGCGGTCGGTGGGGATGGGGGTGGGCTTGCTGCGGAGCTGGAGGAGGGCCCCCCAGGCTGTGACCAGTCCATCCTTACCCTGTGCCTCCTGCCAGGCAGCACCGGGAAACCAGCTCACAGACCTCGCTATTTTGGGAAGTTTCAATTCCCAGGTTCCAGGTTGCCTTTATTAGATTGTAAGCTCCCCAAGGGTGGAAACCAAGGCTACGTGTCCTGGCATCCCTTAGAAGCGCCTCTGTGGGTCCTGGAGCTGGGCAGGGGTGCAGAGTCAAGGAATGAGTTAAGCCACAAAACCTCGCCCCATTGACCCAGCATCTCAGTCAGCCTCATTTAGTGTGGGAAGGGGTGAAGCCAGTCCCCCGCCCCAGTGCCTCGCCTGGACTGCTGCTTGCTCACCTGGACCGTGCCGCTGCTGCCGCTGCCCTCTCACTCACTCCTCGTTGCAGCCCGGGAGAAAGGAGGGGCTAATTCCCCCAGACAAGGAAATAGGCTCAGAGAGGGCAGGCAGCTTGCCCCGGGTCACACAGCTGAGCTGGGATTCAAGTCAGGCTTGAATAAAGCCTGAGCTCTCTCCCATGCCCCAGCCAGCTGCTGCGGGGCCTCGGGCCTGTCGTGGACCAAATCTCAGCCAAAGGCTGGAGTTCAGGGTCACGGTCAGAACGAGTACCAGCCCAGGAACCCGAAGCCCCTCCCAGGATGCGAGGGGGAATCGGCTGAGGCAGTCCCGAGGGGAGCCCGAGTGCGTGGTGCGTGGGTGAGGTGCAGGCCAGCACCTGGGCCCTGGCTCCCCAGGGCTTCCTCACAGGACTTGGGGAACTCAGCCAAGATGGTGTCCAGCCAGGAAGCCAAGGAGTTGGGGCTCCGGACCTGGATTTCAAAGCTAGGGCTGCCTCTCTGGGCAGGAACTCATTATACATCTTTTTTAAATCCCCACCAGAGGATATGTTTATTGATTTAAGAAAGAGAGAAAAGGAGAGAGAGAGAAATACTGATGTGAAAGAAAAACATCAATTGGTTGCCTCCTGTACACCCCCTAACTGGGGATTGAACTGCAGCCTAAGTATGTGCCCTGACTAGGGATCAAACCTGCAAGTTTGGTCTGCGGAACGACGCTCCAACCAGCTGAACCACCCAGCCAGGGCTCATTATGCATTTCAAAATAGCAAATAGAGAGGAAGAGAGAGAACCAACTCTCACTAAAGCACAGGAGGCCAGTTGGGCATAGCCCCAATCTGGAACAGTCCAAGGCTGAATTTTACATGGAAAAAATTGTGCTTTATGCCTGTGTGCAAACACCCTCCTACAGGGGCAGGTCTGGACACAGGACCTTGAACAGTGACTTCCCCTCTCGGGCCAGGTTGGTGTTTCAAACTTGAGCCTGGATCAGAAACCACAGGAGGGTTGCTAAAATGCGGTTCCCTAAACCCAGGAATATATGCATTTCACCATAGGCCCCCTGGCGATTCTGCTGCCCTGGGACTCAGCCTTGCCTGCAGAATTGCTGGGCTAGAGGAGGCCATTAAATCCAAGGTGTCCGAGAGAATTCCTTTCTCTTTCTTCTTCTCCCACGCGCTTTAAAAATTGTTCTCTTTTTCCCTGCCCTTTGCCTGTCGTGGACGCCCCTAGGCTTTGCTTACAGCAGAAGGTCAAACCTCCCGGATATGACAGAAGGCTCCTGGAACTTCCAACTGACTCGCTGCTTCCAGGCCAAGGAATTTTTAATTTGTATTTTCTTTTTTTCTGGGGCTGCTGGGGGCAGGGCTTCATACAGTGGCTCCGCCACCTGGTGGTCGCAGCCAGGACTGCAGCCTTTACGGCATCCGCCCAGGCTCGCTTAAGTGCCCATCCCCCCAGGGTTCCCAGGCCCAGGTGGGGAGAAGAGGCACAGGAGAGGGAGGCAGGCAGCCTCAGGTTCTAGCCCCCAAGGCCTCCAAGTGTCTCATTAAATTAATTGGTGTAAATGGAATCCCTGGTTCTCATTGAACTAAAGTTGCCATTGGGGTTGATTTTTCCTCTGCCAGTTAAAGCCAAGGCCAAGCTCAGCCGCCAGATGACCTTGGGCAGTCCACCTCTCTTCTCTGACCACGCCTCCACATCTCCACGTGGAGGCCGTCTACCTCCACGTGAGGCGGCAAGATTTGACGGCATCCTGACGGGGCCTGGCACTATTAGCCATCAGCGTCACCCCCTTGCCATTGCACCTGCCCCTTTTTCCTTCCTTTGTTTCTTTTCCAGCTGAAGTCAAGGCCTCTCAGGTTCAGCGGGCTCCCTGGGTTTGGCCCCTGCCCGCAGCCCTGGAAGAAGCCGGGGTGGGGAGAAGGCGAGGACCCTTCCTGGGCTCACAGGCCAGGCCGGGGACAGGGCTCTGCAGGCTCTCAAGCCCTGACTCCAGGTTCAAGGCTTCTCCCACTGTACCTGTGTGAAGAGAACCAACAATGGGTCAGAAAGTCAATGAAACAGTCACCGTAAAGAAAAAAGGGAAATAAAACAAAAAAAGGAAAAAGGAAAAAATTAAATAAGGAAACAGTATCCATAAAATACCTAATTATCTTCTTGTCTAGAGAGTGCGCCTCACCATGCCTGGCAGGCGGTATTGAGGGACCACAGCGGGGGCAATGCCAGATCTTGCCTTTTCAGTTCCTCGCTTCCTCCCTGAGGACATAACTTTGGGGACCCCTCACAATAACACCACGAGCTTAAGGCGCTTCCTTCCTCCCTCCGGAATGCTCCTCGGGTTACTGCCCAGCAGTGGCTTAAACGTCCCCGGTCGTGCACCTCACAGAACCTCGTCTTTGCAAAGCCTCCTAAGTGCACCCACGTGCCTTTTGCAGGGAGGGAGGATGGAGGGAACCGCTAAACTCCATCCCCCTGTTCTCTCTCACGGCATGCATGTTGTCAAAGTCACAGACTCATGTCAGGAACAAAAGGAGCCCCTTCTCTGGTACCCAACCCCAACAATCCCACGCCCAGGAGGAAGGCCCACGAGTGCTTGCTTCTCTGCGTTCAGAATCGCGGCGCCACACGTGAATATAATTAGTTTTTCATCGGGAAGTTGTGTGTGCCCCTGACAAACAACCCAGTGGTCCAGAATGTGGGAAACGACAGGTAAACACCCTGTCCCCCACCACCCTCAACTGCCCAGGGACAATGGCCACCAACAAGGCGTACACTTCCAGAAAACCTTAGAACCTCTTCAAACATAGGCTTTAAGTTTTAAAGTGCTTGAATAGGCAGTAAATCCCCATGGTTCGAAAACAGAAAATGTACAGTAAGGTATTCGATGAAAAGGCTCTCCCTCATCACCCCCCCTCGCCCCCCAGGGTCACACTTGCTGCACCCCCTCAGGTACCCCGTTTGTTTGATATGCACCCCTTCAGATTGTCCTCCTAAATACAAGGGAGGGTGAAGGCCTGTTCTCATTTTACTTTCTCGCACACAACAGGTATTGGCACTTGGCGTTTACCTCCCCTTGTGCATCTGAGAGGTCCTCCTTCATCTGTTACAGTTGCAAAGTATTCTGTTGTCTGGATTTCCATAATTTATTTAATTGATCTCCTGTTGATGGACTCTTGGATTACATCCAATACAGGGTCTGGCATAAATAGCGCCCCTTGTTTTTATTACAAAATCATAAGCATAACAACATGGCCCTCAAGCACACCAGATGACATTTAAGGCAAAATATTCAAATTAAAGCTATACATTCTTATACCCATATTATTACCCTACCAACCACACTCCAGCAGGCGTTACTCCTGCCGGACCTAGTGTTTCGACATCACAGACGCGTTAAAATGCGCGTGCTGTCTTGAAGGAGCGCCACAGCGTCTGCAGGACCAGGACGGGGTTCCAGCAGCCGGACGGCCTGGGGGGAGGCCTGTGGGGCCCCGTGGCTCCCGGGGGCAGCCCCTTGCCCTCCCCAGGCACACACGCCTCCCACTGTCACCGTGCCTGGGGCATCCTGCCAATATCAAGGGTGACACATGGCATGTCGATGTAGTTTTATTCTGTATTTCTTTTCTTATGAGATTGCGCATCTTTTAATATAGTGAAGATGTATTTTTTTCCCCTACAAACTGTCTCTGTATGCTTTGTCTATTCTTTGATTGCAACTCATGGTTTTCTCACCAATTTCTATAAGCCCCTTATATGTTAGGTTGGCTCTTCTGTGATAAAAGTTGCAAATATATTGTTTTTTGGTTGTTGTTTTTTTTACTTTGTCTTTTGACTTTGTTAACACATTATTGTTATTGATTTTTTTTTTTTTTTTGGCCTGTGGAATTTTTTTGGTAATTAAATTTTCA